TTTTGTTTTTCTTTTAACCTGCAGGCTTGTCCCCACAGAATTTACATTACAATGCACCAACTACCCATGAGAAAGAATTTTAACAGGAATGACTTCTCGGTCATCAGGTCTCCTTCTGTCCGTTCCTTCGTCCACTATGGAGTATAATCTAGGTTTTAGATGACATGATTTATAGCTGTCTTACATGCTCAAATTTACCATTTCATACTTTCCCAGACATGTTAAGTAAACTAGTTCCTAACTGATGCTCGGGGAAGATGCTTTAACGTCTTCCTCGTTTAAAACACTCCAAACTGTTCCAAACAGCTGAGACCAAAATAAATGAATTGAAACCACCAAGCCGCCTGCTTTAAATTGATATTTGCCATGGATCTATTAATACAGGTTCCGGTATTAATGACAATTAAGCAGAATCTGGCACTCCTCAAAGAAAATGAAGAGATCTCCAAAAATTGAAATACAGAAACAAAAAGCGCAAGCTCTTACATATTTGCACCATGCTTTAAATAATTTGAATTTGGTTCCTTCCTTTTCCCAGGCTGGCACCTACTTGCCTCAGTCTTACCTGGTCCGTGAGGAGATGATGGTGACCGAGCGCCTGGAGCACGTCGACCAGCTCGGCTATTTCATCCACAACCTCTGCAAAGACAAAGACACCTACAAACTGCAGCGCAGAGACAGGATTTTGGGTAAGCATGTCAGGCTTTCATTTAGGTTTAAACATACAGAGATATAAGACTACAGATGCCAAACAGGAAAGGCAAAGACAAAATGCTCTGCCATACAAATGTTTAGCAAGCATTAAGAGATTGTAAATCATTGCGACCTTTAATCTGTGCATTTCAATGTTTGGAAGTTCTGTGTACTCTTTCAGCAACATGAGACACGAAATGCAGCCATACAAGTTTATATAAGAGATTCTCTGATCCCCTCACAGGTATGCAGAAGCGCGAGGCTCTGAACTGCCACAAGATTCGTCACTTTGGGAGTCAGTTTGTGGTGGAAACCCTGATCTGTGAGCCTTAAGACGCCTCGTCGCCCCACAACTGCTCTTAAAGTCACTGGCGTGCAGTGAGATTGTGTTTTTAATCCGCACCTGTCTATTGTTTCCTGTCCTTTACTTCAGGTAGTTTGAGTGAGTGAGCGTGGTGAAATGTGATGCTGTTGGGTGAATATTCAGTGATCCTAAAATTTAAAAAAAAAAAAAAAGTGAAGCGTTTTTTGTTTTATTTTCCAATTTCTATACAGAAATCATTTTCAGAGATAAATTAGCTTACAGCCAGCTGAGTATACAAAAGTAAATTATTTTAATCAAATTAACTGCAAACATAGTATCAAGCTCTTCATTAATAGACGTGGGTAAATATGAGATTTCCTTGCTTTCAGTTCACATATAACATTTTAAGACAGGGCGACTTTTATACCACTCAGTCCACAAAGACTTTTTTTTGTATTTTGTCTGCTGTAGCTGTTAATACACTGCACTTGTTTTCTTAACTGGAAAATGATCTTAAAATAAGAGTGTAAATGTGCGCTTCTGCTGCTGAGCTTTAACGTGTGTGAAATCTGACTGAAGAACACAATATTTTAATTCAGATGAAAGAGAGCTCAGAGAAATAAAAACACGCTTATATTAAAATCTTTTTCACAGGGGGTTGTCTGTCTTTTTATGAATGTGTAATTTTTTTTTTTTTTTTTGGATAACTCTTCTTGTACCAATTTGTGTATATGATCTCTATAAACATAAGCAGACCTACAGAATAAAGAATATGGTAGAAACTATAAATGGTGTGTTGTGTGTTTCTGTGCCAGAAGCTTCAGAAAAATCCTATAAACTTTTAATTGGTGTATATACACTAATAATTATTTTGACTGTATTTCTGTTATTGAGCAAAGGATCAGACTACTTGAAACCAGCAGTACATGTTTATTTTAGTGTGCCTAGGGCTGCCACGATTAGTCAACTAGTCACGATTACGTCGACTTTTAAAATCGTCGATGACTAATTTAATATTCGACACGTCGTTTGAAGCTTTGTAAGATCCCAAAAGACGCAGGAATAAGTAG